ACATTTATAGCAGTTAATTAATAGCAATTCATAAGCTGTCTTCTTGCTTTCCAGTATCTCTGGCTTTCCGTCCTTGTCTTAAAAGCTGGTCACAGAATCAGGTAGGCCTTCTCCATTTCCTCCTGTAGGTTACATAGGGGGCATGTGGGTTGAGTGTATACTCTCAATCTGTGAAGGTGTTTTGCCAAGCAATCGTGTCCGGTACGTAGTCTAAACTCAGCAATAGCTTCGATTCTTGGCTAGTCGGGTATGTCGGAGAGTGCCACTGTCCACTGTTTCTCCTTTGTTCGAGCTTTAAGTTCGTTGCACCTTGAGGTCTGGAATTCTCTTCTGATTAAGGCCTTCATTGTGTGGAAAGACATCGGGCGGTCCATACATTGCAAAATCGTTGTCCATTTCTTTGCAAGTGTGTCAGCAAGCTCATTGCCTTTAATGCCACAGTGACCAGGAATCCATTGTAGGGCTACTGTTTTGCTTTTTTCTCAACAGCTGATAGAATTTTCCACATTCGTTTATCTCAGCTGTTTATGGTGGCAGATGTAAAAGAAACAAACACAAAGGCAGAGTTAAGGTGAAATGAGTACTGTGAAATAGCTGAATATGACATGGAGTCGGGTCATGGTAGTTTGAAATCAGATGTCAACTTTCGGTATAGATTCTTTTGCTGTATGAGTATACGTTGCCCAGGATGCACCGCGTGGAGATCAGTCCATCAGTGGCCACATTTTTTAAATATAAAGCTATTTCAAATTCATTAATTGTCTGATAAAATAATGGTATTTACAATAGAGCATCATTTTTTTCTCTTGCAGAATTATAAAGATTGTTACTTCATCGAACCTTTTTAGCAGATTATTTTTAATTTGGCGCAAAAGCCTGAAAGTTTTTTCTTTATTTATTTTAAGTGCACATATTATCAATGATAAAGCAGTTCTTTTCGTTCAGGGAAACAGAAAAATTTCAGGTCATTTTTTTCTTAAAAAACCTACAACTCAGTTCCCTTAATCCTTAAATTGTTTTAAGAGAGTTTAGAGTTTAAAACTTTGCACGAAATGATAACTCTGGGGGGTAATTGGCTTAAAATTCAAATACCTTATTTAAATTCACGAATCAAATAGCTTGGTTTTAACTGAAGAAATATGCCTCAATACGATGCATTAAGACTTTAATTTAGAGAACGGAAAAGTTCTTGTATGAGAAACGCTCATCAAATAGGTGAATGAGGTAAATTGAACTCTAAAATAAAGATATCATCTGCTCATTTCAAATAGAACGTAGTTAGAGTTAAGGAGTTGAAGTATAAACATACACTATTTTTGCACCAGATCAGATATCACAGTTTCGTATTTTGCAGAAAAAAAGGTGAATTTTCTATGTATCATGCATCAAAATTTAACTACCCTTTATTATAACTTGACTTTTCTCATTCGCCGCTGAAAAATATTCTAAATATATTTAACCAAATTATGAAAACATAATCTTTGAATTATTTAAATATTATATGGACTCTGTCTCTGCATCCAAGCATTCGAAACCAATCTTAATACTATGAAATTCAATATTATTTTTCCAAGTTGATGTCATGCTTCATATAACGGCATTTTCTGTGCAAAATGAACAATTTGTAGAGCCTAACGGGAATACAAAGTTGACTTACTTATCAATTAATTTTTAATCAACTTGTTATTCATGCAATCTATTGTGAAAAAATTTCAAAATGTGAATTTATGTTTTTTTTGAAATGATATTTCAAATGAAAACCGATTCTGAACTAGTTCACAGTTAGGCAGCCGCCAACATAATTCAGGTCAAATTTGCTTCCCAGGCGATATATTTCACAAAAAATAAAAAATTAATTTGTTAGAAAAAATAAACAAAAGTTTTATCAATTCCTAAATTTTAAAAAATGACATATTTTTTGAAACCTTTTATTGGCATTGTTGAAATGGATTTTAATGTAATTGAATATGTTAACTCAAATCAAAATGGTTCAACTTTTGACTATTTTGTTACACACAATCGCGCAGGAAATTCAGAAAAAACATATTTTTGTGTTGTTAACGTTATATATGCAAAATAAAATGGACATTGTGTTTTTCCCGAACCGACATGCTTTAATGATTACTGCACGCACCTTTAGAAAAAAATCAACTTAAACGTACAGGGCTAGATCTGATTAAAAGCAAAACAATTTTATCCAAAATAATTATTATAAACTCATAAAAACAATTGCAATATCAATTTGTGTCATGAATTTGCACATTTTATTTACAAAAAAATTCGGAAAATATTTTTTCCTAAATGTAAAAAGAGAGAGTTAAAAAGGCTATTTTGATCATAATTATGTAGCATTAATTAATTTGTTGACAAATCATGTGAATTTGTAATTATTTATTTATTTCAAATGGCATGCTTTATGATATTTATCATTAGCCCATAAACTTTGACTAGAGCTTCCCCCAAGGGAGGGGGGGGGGAGTACATTTATAGCAGTTCATTAGCAGTCTTCTTGCTTCCCAGTATCTCTGGCCTTCCGTCCTTGTCTTTAGGGCTGGACACCGAATCAGGTGGGTCTTCTCCATTTCCTTCTGTAGGTTACATAGGGGGGCACGTAGGTTGAGTGTATACTCCCAATATGGGAAGGTGTTTTTCCAAGCAATCGTAACTGGTACGTAGTTTAAACTCGATTCGATTCTTGGCCAGCCGGCTATATCGGAGAGTGCCACTGTCCACTGTTTCTCCTTTGTTCGAGCTTTAAGTTTGTTGCTCCTTGAGGTCTGGAATTCTCTCCTGATTAAGGCCTTCATTGTGTGGAAAAACATCGGCCTGTCCATTCGTTACAAAATTGCTGTCCCCTTCTTAACAAGTGTGTCAGCAATCCCTTTGCTTTTAATGCCACAGTGACCAAGAATCCATTGTAGGACCACTGTTTTGTTTTTCTCTCTCAGCAGCTGATAGAGTTTTCTACATTCCTTATCTCAGCTGTTTTCTGCAGCTGATAGAGTTTTCTACATTCCTTTATCTCATCAACAGCTGATAGAGGTTTCTACATTCGTTTATCTCAGCTGTTCAGCTGATATAGTTGTCTACATTCCTTTATCTCAGCTGTTTTGGATGGCTCTCTGGTCTATTGCTGACTGTGAGTCCGAAAGTATCACCGTTTTATTCCTTCTTTTATCTCAGCTGTTTTTGCTCTCTGTTTCCAATGGAGTTTATTGCTGACTGTGAATCCAAAAGTATCACCGCTTTGGTGAATTTCGCACCCAGGCAACATAATTGGCATCGTGCTATCCTAATGGCCTCTATTTCTCCTTCAATAGCGGATCTATTGTGTCCCGCTGTCCCGTAGAAAGAGAAGAGTTCCAAATAGACACCTGCATCAACATTTGCTTGGTTTTCTATGTATGACCCATCAGTGAAGGCTCGGAGCCATTGATCTCCAGGATAGTCGACATTGATTGTCTCAAGGGCCAGTGGGCGCATTTTTTCTGGAGGGGTGTTTGATTGGCTGAAGTTGTCAAGCAATTGGGTGCAACACACTGCATCAGTGTCTGCTAATGGATTCATGGGGAGAGAGAGGCTTTTTGCTTTGTCATCGATTTGTAATGCTTTCTTCAGTTCTATGGCTTTGTATTAGACCAGATTGCCAGATGTCTTGGTCTATTCTCATAGGTGCTGAAGAACTTACCTATTCTTTGATAAGGGAACATATTGTAGCGCTTCCTATAACCAGGAGCATTGCATCAATGGGTGTTGATTTTACGCCTCCAGTAATTAGTCGTAATGCTTGGTTGTGTGGCCGTCTATTCCTCTAGTAATTAGTCGTAATGCTTGGTTGTGTGCCTTCTCGAGTGGTTGAGAGTCACCTCTGGCTTGTTTGTGGCCGTCTATTCCTCCAGTAATTAGTCGTAATGCTTGGTTGTGTACCTTCTCGAGTGGTTTGAGAGTCACCTCTGTGGCTGTAATGAGCCAGCAATACAACATTATTGGCTGAATAAACATCTATTGGAGAATCGTTCTGATATTTTAGTAATTTGACATTTCTCCGTAAGCTTTGTGTCAAACTTCATTTTGAAATAAGGGAACTCATTGGTTCTTTCTAGGGTAGTATCCTTGTACCTTAGAAGCGGGTTTATGCTGTGATGGGCCAGAGAAAATGTTTAGAGTGCCGTTTTAGCGGTGTTGATAACCATTCCATTATTGTCGCACCAGTTTGCTAGTAATTTAAGTGCACAATTTAGGGCACTTTCCGTCCTCTCCTTAGCGTTTTTCTTAGTTTGGGGGCTTTCTGTCCTCTTCTGAGCGTTTTTCCTAGGGGCGGAATCAAGTTTGCTAGTAATTTAAGTGCACAATTTAGGGCACTTTCCGTCCTCTCCCGAGCGTTTTTCTTAGAAGCGGAATACCATAGAACAAGATCATCTGCATCAAGTAAGCCCTTGATGCCCGTTACTGTCTGTACCAATTCGACTGTGTCATTGATGAAGACATTGAAAAGAGTGCAGCTTGTGACAGCTCCCTGTGGAAGGCCTGTTTGCAAAAGATTGGATTTTGATAGAGCATTTTCGTATCTGACTTTACACGATCTTTGTCCAATGAATGCTTTTACCCAGTTTAGCATGTTATGCTTAATACCAATCTTTGCCAATTTTAGAATTAGCTTCTCTTTCCATACTAAGTCATATGCTGATTTGAAATCGACGAAAACAGCCGTAAGGGTATTTCTTGCATCAAGGGCATCTTTGATGTGTTGGGAGAAAGTGGCTACTTGTTGGTTCGTTGATCTTTGTGGCCTTAAACCTGCTTGTCCACTCCTAAGAATATTGTTGGTATCAAGGAAACAGGTCAGCCTCCTGTTAACCATTCTTTCCATAAGTTTAGCCAGCACGCTTGTGAGGGAGATAGGCCTATAGTTGTCAAAGTTGCTAGGGTCTTTGCCTTTTTTAGTACTAGTATTATAATGGCAACTTTCCATTGGTTAGGTACGAGACTGGTCTCCCAGATTTTGTTGTAAAGCGTCAGCATGGTTTCCTTGGCTTTTGGTCCCATTCTAATTAGAAATTCTGGATGAATACCATCTTCGCCAGAAGACTTCTTGCACTTTAGCTGTTTTATCGCAGCATTAAGTTCGCAAGGTCTNTTTGAAAGTGCGTTGGCTATCACTTTGATAGTTGATATTTGAGATGAACTCGTCGAAGAAAGTCCGTTTAGCTTGTAAGATGGCTTGTCTTAGGACAGCTGACTACCGTCTCCGGGCTTGTACATCATCCGTTCTTCCAGTCTGATCAGCGGTGTTGCGAAGGGCGTCCCTCTTTCTTTTCAGTTCCTCAAGGTGTTTAGACCAAAACACTCGATAGTGTTTAGTCTTGCCTCGGGGAATAGTTTTCTTTGCACATCTAATCATAATATTTGTGATATTGTTGCAAAGTTTGTCAGGATGTTAGTTGAAGTTGAGGTGACTTTGGTGAAGTTCATTCTCTAAAAGGTTTGTGAATCTAGGCCAGTCAGCCTTCTTGAAGTTCCATGATATCTTAGTTGGCACTTTCCTTGTCATGCTTTTGCTGCCGATGTTAATACTAGCAATGACTGGTTTGTGACCAGAACCAGGATCGCCAATTATTTCGCGGCGTGTATGCTCCCTGATGTCGCTTGAAGCCAGGAGTAAGTCAGGAGTTGTTCTGGATCCATTGTAGTGCAAATATGTAGCCGGATCTTCATTGCTGTAAATACGTTCCAGGGGGTTGCTGTTTAGCATGTCTTCGATTTCCTTTCCAGCTATGTTTGTATCCTTGTAGCCCCATCTGGTGGAATGGGCGTTGAAGTCTTCTAGTACTACAGTTTTGTGTGAGATGTTCAGAAAGTCAAAGTTGGGAAATTCTGGGGTGGATTATAGATCGCATATATCTTGAAATGGTTATTTAATTTCCAATAGGTGGATTATAGACTGCAAATATCTAGAAGTGGTTTTGACATTCCCAAATCATTAATCTGATTATTTCACATTTGTCTTGTGTCGAGCCCATACTCCTGATTATTTCGCATATGTCTTGCGTCGAGCCCATACTCTTTATTAGATTATAATGTTATGTGTGGCCTTCTTTAACTCCAGTCAGAATTCCCCTTGCAACTTGCCGGTATTTAGGAAGAAGGTACAGGGTGTAACCTGGGAATTGGTATTTAGGTAGATTGTACAGGGTGTAACCTGGGAATTGGTGGCTAGGTAGAAGGTACAGGGTGTAACCTGGGAATGGGTAGTAATTCAGTTTGTCATCCGAAATGATTGCTTCCATAATTATATAATTGTGAAAATGTCTACATCATAGGTTTGTGGATTTTCTGTACTTGGATCTTTTTGTCCTGTGACATTCCAAGCATTCCACTGGAGGATCTGAAGACATTGTGATTCGCCCCTTCCACTGGAGGATCTGAAGACGTTGTGATTCACCCTGACAAGGATCTGAAGCCGTTGTGATTCGCCCTGACGAGGGCGATTTCTCTAATAGCCTTGTTTCAAGCTAATCATAATAAATCGAAGTCAAATCGAATGCCGAGTGATAGACTTTTTTGTTGTACGAAGATACGTTGTCCAGGGTGCACCACGTGGAAGTAAGTCTGTCGCGCACCTCCCGAAAGTCAGCAACACCGCGTATTCCCAGCCGATCACCCATGCAAGTACTAACCCGGCCCGACGTAGTTTAACTTCGGTGATCGGACGAGAACCGGTGCTTTCTACGTGGTATGGCCGCTGACCTTGTAATAATCATAAGTAGCAACTGTGCCTAATAAAAGGAGTTCCAGTATTTGAAATAGGCATTGCAAAATGTGAACGCGCGTCTTTCAGCCATTAAGGCGAAAAAAGCTAATGATAGAATTAATTGAGGAGCCATTAAGGAAACAAAGAACTGCTTTACTAAAGCCGCTAACAGTTCGATTTGCCAGCTTTACTGTGAATTTCTAATACTGAGTCTTGAAACCGTATAGAATTTTCACATCAATTAATTTGATTGCAATACTTAAAAATATTCCTGTGCTTAACTAACAACGAAAACTTTACTGGGCTAAAGAAGTTTTTAATATGATAATCAATTTCATTCATTTTTTAAAAAAGAAAGACGGTTTACAATACACTCATTGTCTCTATTTTATCGATATAATAAAACGAATCCCTGTGGAACTTAAAGTTTATTTATTTCAAATGGCAGGGGCTTTGATGGCTATCATTAGCTGACTTTGGGCTTCACAGAGAGGAGGAGGAACATCAAAGTGAAAAAAAGTCGAGAGGGGGGGGGGACAGAATAATGCTTCACAAATGTAAAAAAGACAGGCAGAAACAAAGGCAGAGAAATGGTAAGGTGAGTAATATGGCAGTACTCGAATATGACATACAGTTGGGGGGTGACGGTAGTTTGAAGTCAGAAGTCAACTGCCG